TTGGGTTTTTCTGATGGTTTGTCATGATTGGATTGAGGTTATGGATTTTTTTTGGGAATACCACAGATAAGATGTGCCTTTCTTGTTGGCACACATGATATCAACATGACATTGCTGATAATGTTAACTCTGATCACTCGATGAAGATGGTATCTGTCAGGTTTCTCCACTGTGGTGACTTCCTGTTCTCTGTTCACTGAGTCCTACTCACACTCAGGGGGTGGGAATTAAACTTCACCTACTCAAGGGAGGAGTATCAAGGAATTTGTGAACATATGTTAAAACAATGACAGTAAATAATATCTTGGAGGAAATATTTTGTGGCTGTGCAAATACCCTGTTTCTCCTTGAAGTCTCAGGGGAACCAGTTCTCCCAGGAGGAGGCCAAGAATTGCCTAAGACAAGAAGTCAGCCTGCAGTGTCTAAACATTTGGCTTTTTAAACTTGTCTGTGCTTTATTGCAGAGCTATCTGTATTATAAATGGTCATATTCTTGTGTCATTGACCCTTCTGTTAATTTCTTTGAAGAGTAGAAGCATGTATATTAACTGAATGGGATGAATGAGGTTACATTCGTTAAGCAAGGTGAAACATCAATAATTGGTTAATCAATTACAAAATGCTCATTTTATCTCTTAGCACTTGTTGGCTACGAAGTAAGTAGGTACATATATATGTGTGTGTGTATATATGCACACCCATATGTATAGGTAGGTATGTGTATATATCTAGGTGTATATATAATGAATAGCTACATTCCAAATGACTTGTATACATGTCTAAAATCCGTTGATCAGAAAAGCTTTGTTTAATGTTGTGCTTCCTATGCAAAAGACAGTCACAGTGTCTCATGCAATCAAGAGGTGCAGTCTTCCAAAAGCTACCCATTAGGAGTTGATAGTTGAGAAGAAGGCATATTTCAGTGAGCCAGCAGGCTTCCCAACACATACTGCCTTTTTGGCTGATCTTCCACGGAAATTGGAATAATTCTAGGGTAGCCATTGTTGCCCCAAGGGTGCTGGCTAAACGGGCTGGTCCAGAGAGATAATGTGGTTAATGTGCTTTTAGAATGATAAGAGGAAAAACATTATGACATTTCGATGTATGACATAACCACTTATTCTGTACTGCTACTCTCAGCAGCCCCATAATCTAAACATATTTTTGCTTAAATGTTTGAGTAAGAGAAAATCTGGAATAGTAGTTATTTGGTATAGTGCTAGATATGGGTAAGGTTTTTTTTTAGCATTTAAAAAAATTTGTAAGATCATTAAAAAAAACATGATCACGATTTGGCAGCAGTGATTTAATAGCAGTCAGTCAAATTGAATTTGACCGTTGGACTGAAATTTAGCCTCTTAACCATATGTTATTGCTTTGCTCCAGAGCAGATTTTAATGATGAACTATTGTCAAAAATACTTTCATTTATTTCTTCTGATTTTGCAAAGCACAGCATTTCTAATTCTTGGGGTCATCAGAGTAGGGTTTGGGTGAGAAGGGTTGGAGGTTGGGAGGGGGGTACTCTTGCAGGAATTTGCAGTGGAGAAGGCAACATTGTTGTGAAATGTATTGGGATCATTTCATGTTAACTTAGGTGGAGTTACAATAACTACCTTAATTTGGGATAGAGGGAGTAGATGAGGTGTAGATATAAACAAACGTGTTAAAATTGTTCTTGTTTCTAGAGCACCTGGCTAGCTATTTGGCATTTGATGTACAATATTTTATTTAACTTCAAGATAATCCTGCAGGGTTGGTGTTAGACCATTTTACACTTGAGATTCTGTAAAACCTACAAATTAGGTTTGAGTGATTTCCTAATGTCATATAACTAGTACATGACAGAACTGCAGTGTAGTTTCCTATCAGTCTGATTCCAAAACCCATCACTGTTCTTTACTGAACTCTTACTTTCTGACTTTGCACACAGTTGGCTGTGCAGCAGTAGGCCCTTTGGGTATATTGTATAGAAAATGAGTCATTTCGTGCTTTGGGAACAATTATATCCCACCCCCTACCCCTCTTGTAGTTAAAAAAAAAAAAAAGCCAAAGCAAAACTTTTAGCTACTTAAAAAAGTTATCTCTGTTGGATAGTTTGGTGCCTTTTGCTCTTATCACGTGAATGGAAACATTACTCTGGTTTCTTGCTACTTGTCTCATTTATGCTGAAAAATATGGAAAACAAAATAGGGACTTATTTCAGCTGACTTAGATTATTATGACAGAGGTACTCAGGAGCTCTGATACGGAAATGAGTCTTTCTTGATAGCTGATAATCATTAACTCAAGCAAGAAGATAATTATGTGTTAATCTCCATATGCTGTGTATGTGTAAATGAAATTCATCTGCTTCTTATTGGGAAAATTGACAAGGCATAACTATGGTTAATATTTTTCACATTACCTTCTGGGTTTCTTATTTAGAGATCCTCCCATAACTTTGAGAGCAAATCCAAAGGGATTGTTGCCAGGGCTTGGGAGGAGTCTTGGAAAAAGTTGTGATTGTAAACTCAGTGTAACCTCAGTAGACCATTGGGCATTCCGGCAACTTAATGATCCTTATTGCAAAGAGTTTCTGAATCCCAGGTTAGTCTTTTTTTGAGTTTTGATTGGAGGCTCTCGTGCTGTCATTTTTAGGGTAGGCTTAGCTTTAACTGTATGAGAGCTATATTTTTTCCTTACATTTTCAAGTCAGAATGGTAATGCATATTAGTAACTTTCATTCTATTCCTTGATGCTTTAGTTTGCATATGGTGTAAGTGGGATTTGGGAACAGCTAAGATAACTGCCTATACCTCTACTCAGAGCGGGAAGTCATGTTGGGCTCTCTCTGTGATAATGATAAATGGGCCAAGTTGTGGGACAGGCTCTATCTTTAGACTTCCACCTCTTTTTTTCTCTTTGGTGCTCCCTTTTCTTTCCCATTTAGGTACTTGACTACC